ACCAGGAGACCCACGTAACCCAAGCCAGCCGCCGGCCTGGGGGATATGAGGGGATATGGAATCACTGAAGCCTCAGCACCACTTGGCACAGCGGGGGGGGGGGGGGCAGAGCCTCAGCATAAATAAACCCATAAAGGTTATTCGAGCACCCTTGGCCTGCGGTGTCTTCAGCTCGCCCTGCCGCAGGCTGCAAATACACCAGCTGTTGTCGAGTCACACCTTCTCGGCATGCCTGGGCACTGCATCCTCCCAGCATGGCTGGGAGGGCCTCCTGCAGGAGCCGATTAGCTGGCCTGAAAGGGCGCTGGGGTCACGCTCTGCACAGGCAGCCCCTTCTCAGGACGGGCTCGGCGCTCTGGTGGAAAAGCAGGGAGACCACCAAGACGACCAGGGGCATTTTGCACATGAGAAGCTGGAGCTCTGGTCCCACTTCAGCCCAAATAAGAGAAGGTGGAGGATTTAAGGGAGAGGGGGAGATCCAACCTGTGTAAATACTGAGACTCACTCATACCGTTGATATTTTATTTGTTGGTAAATAGATATGCTTCATATAGGGCTTTCCTGTACGGATCATTTTTCCCTTTGTGTTTTGAAAAGTATCTCCACAGCCATGAGGACTAGAAGCATGCCTCATCTTTTAAAATGTTTGTAACAGAGCTGTTTGTAGAAGTTTTACTGGCCAACCACACGGAGGCACCTGGGTCCTGTGCATTTAAGGTCAGTCACCACTGGGATTTTCTACCGGGCGTCCTGCCAGCATCTGAAACCCGGCCTGGCATGTGTGCAAACCCAGAGCAGGTGGAACGACTCCGAGTGCAGCCTAACGCACAGGGTGCCCCAAGTCCTCCATCCCTGCATCCTCTCTGACCTGGAGCTGCCCCCTCCTCTTCTTATGAGGTGTCACGTGGCCGGGCACAAGGGGGAGGTGATGGAGGCGACATGAAGGGACTTTCCAGCAGAGGAGCGGCGACAGGGGACAAGTGTCCACAGGCCCTGCTCCGATGGGAGGGGTCTGCTCGCCGCCATCCTAACTCAGCAGCAGAATGCTTGCCAGCGCTGCCTGCGCAAACTCGGCTGCGAAAGCATCAGCGCAGTGGCTGATTCAGGGAGAGGCAATCTAGCCTCGCTTCCACGGGACCTGGCCACCCCAAAGGCCCCTTTCGGCTGACGAGCCCATCCTGCCACCCTTCCCGTGCCACAGGAGGGCAAACCGCCTGTTGGGCTGCTTCGGGCCTTCCGGGGGCCTCCCTGCCAGCGCAGGGCTTTCGGACCTCCCTGTCCCATAAATCAGCAACGTTGGCCCAGACTCTGCAGGGGGCCCGACAAAGGCTATTCCAGGCCCACCCGCCCTCTCATGCCTGCCTTGGACATCTGCAGCCTAGAAAGAAAGAAATGAGCCCACTCCAGGCAAGGGGCTGCTAAACTCTGCTCCGAGTCCGCCTGCATTGGAGCTTGCCCGAGCTGGCCCCGGTAGCCCGGCGGAGCCCGGCATTCCTTCCTGCTTATTTCTCCAAGGCTCCTAAGAACAGGCCACCCGTGCTGGCACGGCAGGGTCAGCCCATCTCCGCCACAGGAGCCCTTTGCTCCAGCAAAAGTTCTTGCAAGCCACTTGTGGGAGCAGCGGTGCTCCCACCCCGGCCTTTCCCGGAGCCACGGAGTGCCCGGACACCTGGGGACGGCGCTTTTATCTCGGTGGCATGCTGACCTGACCGGTGGGGGCTGGTCGGGGGATGGCGGAAGGCAGGACCGATGCACGTCCTCCAGGACAAAAGACCACTAGCACATTCGCTGGGGGGAGAGGGCAAGCAGCGCACAAGCCACATACGCCGTGGCGTCAGGCGGGAGCGGGGCCTTCGCAGCTCGGGCTGAGACTTCCCCCGGAAGAGCCTCCTCTCGCTTTGCTCGGAAGGACGCATCGCTGCCCGTGCAGGGTGTCCTTTCTGAAAAGCCAGTTGGAGGGACCGATTCTGATGGATCGTTGTAACTTAACTGGCCCTCCCTGTCGTGGCCAAAGCTACTGGGTAGGCCAGTAAGCCTAGTGGTGAGGGCTGTGGGGGTTCTTTTGCTCTCCTGAACTCAAGGAAGGGGAAGCTGTGATCCTTCCTGGCTTGACTCCAAGTCCCATGGTCCCTAGCCACCGGCCATGCAAGTAGGGGTTCATGGAGGTTGGCATACAAAGACATTTGGAGAGCCAGAGTTTGTTTGTTTATTATTTAAAGCGTTTATGTCTTGTCCTATATCCTATCAGGATCCCAGGAAGGCTTTCATAAAAAATAAAACAGCAGCACTTGAATAACATCTCCATATAAAAATATGTAATCAAATAATTCTAACCATTAAAATACTGAGAAATAAAAAGGTTTCGGCCCAGCACGGAAATGAATGCAGAGTCGGTGCCAGGTGCACCTCTCCTGGGAACAGGCCTCTTTCAAAGTGGGCTCCTGGGAAAGGACCTCACCTCCGGGCAGGTGGAGGAGGCATTCCTGCAGACATCAAGGCCCTAAACCAGAGTTCCCCCAGCCTGCCCTGAGTGAAACTCACGGGGGCGGTGGGCAACTGAAGGGCCGTCCAAGCGGGCGCAGCCTTCCCCCTGCCGCGGTGCGTTGGTCCGCCCGTGTGGAGCAGGCGCCCTCGCCCCCCGAGAGAGCGGGCCTCTTGCCCTCTCCTTGTAAGGGCAGGCAGCTGTGACTTCACAGTCAGGCAAGTAATAATGGGGAGCACTTGGTGGGTCAGCTGCGGGAAGGCAGGGGAGCTGGAGACGGGGTCCCCAGCCCTCAAAGCACGGGGTGGCGCAAGATGCTACGATGTGTGGGGGGAGTGAGGCATGGACCACCCCTGGGCTGAGGTGCACTGCGCTCCCAAGAGCTGCGTGCCTCTGAAGGTAGGTGGGGGGCGGGGAGGGGAGGGGGCACGGGCTCACCTGGGGCATGCTCGAAGGAGGGCTGCCGTGTCTCTTTATGGACCCTGAGCCCTACATTTTATCAACAGCCGGACACATATCTGTATATGTCCCTGACTCCCCCACCCCCAAAACCCCCCACCTGGGTAGCCCTGTATAAAGCCCATTTCAAAAGGAAGCCTGTGTTTTGACAGTCCTTGTCAAAACTGAGGGCTTCCATTAAAGGGGTGTCTCTCTCTTCCATCTTCGCAACAACCTACAGTCTCATGCAAGTGTGGGTGGGGGGTCGTGAGGACACCGAAAAGATTCAAGTCCCACTGATCAGTCCGATTAAATGAATAACATGGAGGCTCTTGGTGCCAAGGATCCCATGGACCAGCCTCTTTCACAAGCAAAGGTGACTCATGACCGGCAGTTTGACAGCTGTCGAGGGGGCAAACAGTAAGAAACCAAGCTGCCTGCAGCCCCTCCCGATCGGCCCCCAGGACTGGTGCTTGCGGAATTCTGCGTGCAGGCACCTTGCCTGGCGTTGCCCAGAAAGGCATCCCGACGTGGAGCTGTGGAGCCCTCAAAACACACTGCCTTCCCCCTTGGAAAGCTCAGTCTGGGAATGTGAATGAGGCAGAGCAGGAGAGGGGTTGGAATGTGTCAGGAAATGTCAAGGTTAACGAGTGAGATTTGTCGGACAACTGCCTGGGACCCCAGCAACCGCAGGTTCGGGAGGAGGCATGGTGCAGCGGGAGGAGATGGCGGCCAGGGCAAGCTTGACGAGGGGCTTTTACCGCCCTTCCTGAGCGGCTTGCCCACGGGCTACCCTGGCTCAGAAGCTGCAACAACCGATTGTGCATGCAAGGGCCCCTAAACAACCGATGGGGCTACAAGGGGGCCCATGACAAAGCCACCTTGCAGGGAACAGGCGCAATTTGCGAGACGTGATAACCCCTTGTGTCTTGTCACCCCAATAATGGCACGGCTTGGTTCTAGAGCTACGAAATAAAAACATGGGTTGCATCCAGAGTATGTCCCAACCGCAAGCGAGTGCAGCCATTTTCCACACATTGAGGTTTCTAGGATGTCTTTCCAGAGGACCATCAACTTAAGCTGCGATCACACACTTTGTTAGTTTGTTTCATTTTTATAAGGCCTAATAGCTGAGGCTTTCTGGGTGGTTAACAAAAGTGGTTAAAAACACACAAACAAGGAAGAGAGAAAGAGAGAAATAAGACAAGAAAATGACAGCAGTTGCAACCAAATCAGCATGGAGGTATAGCAGTGGTGCAGGATAAAATGCAATACTAAAACTAAAATTAAAAAGTTGAGCTGTTGAAATACTGGGAAAATAAATAAAAAGGGTTTTCACCTGGTGCCAACAAGACTATGAAGGAAGCACCAGGTGTATCTCTTTAAGGAACTCATTCCATGGCTGGGGTACCACAACCAGAAAGACCCCTTCTTTTGAAGGCAGCTCTTGGGGAACTCTTGAAGATGACTTCAGGGTCTAGGTAGGAACATACGGGATGAGGCATTCCTTCTGATGAATGGCCCCCTTTCCATACCCTGTGTGGCTTGACAAGATATATTTTTAAAGTTCAGCAACTGGAACTGAATGTCACGGTCGGATTCTGATACTGATAGCTTTATTTTTTCATTCCTTTTCTTCAACATGCCATTTGCCTTTTCCACAGCACACTCCCAATTTCAGTTCCCTATCAGTCATTTACTTCCCTGGACATTTGCTTCTCCAACAGCCCATGGGAAAGCCACGCGGACGAAGTGCTTTGCTTTTGGCACCAAGAAACCCCAACCAGGGGCAAGTGCTACAGACACCCTACCACAATCTCCCATGAAATTTTGCTAGTTTCTTCTCTACAGACTTGATGATACAATATACCATCCAAAAAAAGGCAAGCTTCCCTTGCACTCAGAAATGTACCTTTTAATAAGGAAGAAACACAAAGGCTTTTTCGGTCCAGAGAACGTTCTTGAAAATGGGACACAGCCGGGTTTGGGCAGCCCCACTGTCCACGCATCCGTCGCTTCCCATTTCTCCCGCTATAATAGTTTTCTCTCCTGTATGTCCGCAGGGGCAGCGGCTGTAGACATGGTTTTGGGTGCCCTGCTCTTCCTGGCAGTAGTCACTCTGGTGCATCGTCCTCTGATGGTCAGTGACTACACGGACCTGGCCACACTCCACCGACTTCAGGAGCACGAGAAATTGCTGGAAAAAGAAATGGGGCATCTGCAGGAAGAATTTGACCAGGAAGACTGGAACTGGGCTTCCAGAGCATGCCGGGAGGACTGGGTCCCCACTGACCTGACACCGGAAGATGTAACGTGGGACGGGTGGCCCTACGTGGGGGTGGTCATTCTTCTCCTCTTCGGGTGCTGCAGACACTCCATGGAGAAGGAGCCCAGTGACGACTCCAGTGTGGACAGCTCCAGCACATGCAGCAGCGAAGACTTCGACGACACAGAGAATGAGCTCGACGCCGACGAACCCAAGCAACGAAGGCTGCAGGCCTTCTACGACCACTACATTAAGGCAGACATGAGTGACCTGGCCGCCATGTGCAGTTTTGTTGAGTGCTTTGTCAACGACCTGCTGGAGGCATGTCGGAATGCCCTTCCGTCGCCAAACACCCTTCTTTTGCTGGAGAACTGCATCGGGGTCAACAGTGCCTTCGAGGGATGGCACGCGATGAAGGAGTGCCACCCGTTCAGCGTCCTCGTGCCGGTTCTGCCGCCCAAGGGGCACTCCCTCCACATCAAGACAAGTGACTCCGAGGGTGCGCCAAGAAAACATGGGCACGTTAAGGTCGACCTGGAGTGCGTGTGCAAACGGGAGAGGCTCCTGGGGGATGTAACCTGCTTTCTGCACCACCCAGAACACACATGGAGCAAAGACGAGGAGGGAAACTTGCTTCTGCACGCCTTGTGCTCCAGTTCGCACTTGGACGTGGAAAAAACGGTTCGTTGGTTCCAGAATCTTGTGGGCAAGGCCTGGAAGAGCATCCAGCAGAAGTACAACCTCAAGGTCTTGCCCCAGCCCTCCAGCACCACATGCCGGCTGGAACTGGCGTTTCGGTCGGGAAGGTCAATCCAGCTGGACATCATCCTTGGGGTGCAGCAAGGAGACTCACTGGTCTTCCTGGCCACTCACGATGCGGAGAGAGGGAATTCACCGGGCGGCGGGTGGCAGAGGACCTTTGCCATCCAGGAGCTGCTGTTTTTCAAATGGGTGAGCCAGCAGGCTCCCAAGGAGTGCTGCCACCTGAAATGCCTCCAGCTCCTCCTCTTTTTCAAGGAGTCCAGCCCATCGGATCAGAACGTGGTGCTCACCAGCTATCACTACAAAACATGCTTGATGCACCTCTTGCTCCTCCAGCCCCTGTCCGACTGGAAGCTGGCGAACATAGTGCGGAGGCTTCAGGACCTCCTCCTCTTCATGCAGGCTGCCCTGCGCGAGAAGCACCTCGAGCACTTCCTGGTCGGGAACCTCTCCTTGCCGGTCCAAATTCCTATGCCCAAGGCACTCCGAAGTGCAGACCCCCTCAATCTTTTTGAGCACTTGGCACAGGACTCCTGTCTCCATGCCAAGGCAGTGGAGGAATTTGTGGAGGTTGTCGAACAAGTGAGAGCTTTGCTGTCAGACCTGGAAGAGTAGCAAAGGTCCGCTCTGCCAGAAAAGAGGGCCTTTGTTGGCTGGCGGAAGATCTGCACATTCTAGCAGGGCCGGCCCTGTGGCCAGAGAGGAAGCAAAGCTGGGTTAGACACATGGGGCCAGTGTGACCATATCCAGCTGGGCTTGAGTGTCTTCTCAGGGTTCCCCAGCTTCAGAGACCTGGAGAAAGGCAGGTGAGCTTGCCAAGGGCCTCTCAAGCCAAGCCCGCTTACATTCCCCAGGCCAGCTGCTCTTCTGTATTTTTATATGCTCTGCTTTAAAATGAATTTGCTCTACTAGACTTGAAATAAAGGTTCCACCAAGCAGTGTGCTTAAAGCCCTAGTCTGATAGTTTCTCTTCCAGGCCTCCCGCCCATTCCCTGTCTGTCGTTAGAATTCCGGCCAGCTAATTACAGGCATCTAATGGCTACAGCTTCCCTGGGGAAGACAGTAGTGTTAAGGAAAACCAAAGGCAGAAGAAAAGTGGGAGCAACCATGAGGCAGCTCAATTTGATAAAGGAAGCCACAGCCTTGGGTTGACAAGGGCTCAGCTGAGCTACCTGTCACAAGCTGGACTCCATTTGCACTTCCAAAACACCAGACCGTTCTTTGCCAAAGATCTTTATTCACCAAGAGATTTCCGGTAAGTACAGTGAACAAAGAATGGATCTCTGAGCGTGCACAGAGCGATTATTTGAACCCCACCCAGCAGCTACTCCCGAGCATCCTCTTCTCGAGTACCCCTGGGCCCCTCCCTTTGGGTGTCCCTCCTTCCTGACCGTTGCCCCTCGAGTTGGCTGGCCCATCTCTCCCGACATCACGTCACGAGGTCAAGCGTTCTTCCAGGCTAGACTGGCTGCAGAAGCTCCTCTCCCATGCCCCCTCCCTGCATTTGTAAATCCGACTATTCTCCCCAGTTGATGCTTCTCAGCATCCCCCTGAGCATCTGGGGAGGGTGCCCATGAGATAAACCCCGCTACTTCTTCCACTCCGGCGTCTGAGGGTTCTGGTTCCCAGGGTCCCTCCACTCCTGACGAGTCTGAATAGGCCTGGCCGTGGAACGTGCGCAAGAGCAACTGCCCCTTTCATTTGCTACACTATCGTTACCGGACTGAGCCAGTCCACAGCTGGGGCAAACCCGGGTGGACCCCAGACCCGAGCCAGACAGAGCCTGAGACGAGACTTGGAGCCAAAACCAGCTTTCTTCTAGTGCACTATAGAATAAAGGGAGACAAAAGGGGACGTTCAGCCCAAAGCAGTGGCTCCAAAGTTGCACCCCAGTACATGCGTTTCATACCCGAGGTAGCCAATTCGGTCACCTAACACACATCTACTGCATCGATACATCAACGGATGCACCCCTCCCGTGCTGGAGAAAGAGTCCTTTCTTCTGTCAAGGACCAGACAGTTCCCATGCCTATTTCTTATCTGCTCGAGATTCACACAGGCTTGCCATGTTCTTACTCCCTGCACATGTGCAACGTTCATGGCGGCTGGAACCAGTTCGCACTGTCCCTTTGATTACTGCATTCGAGGTCAGGCTGGTGTGTTAGCTGTGGGTTACACAAAGTTCGTTTTGCTCTTCTCTGCCCTCCCTTCTGGGGCAGGATAACTGTGGTGTTTTTACTGTGTGGCCTTCCTCTGGCCAACTACTTTTGGGGTGTTGTGGGGTGCTGTGTTGGGAAAATTTGGATAAATCCTGTCAGAAAAACATTATTTCTGTTGCACTGTGGGATCAAATCCCGCCTTCCTTCTGAAAACCAAGCTGTCACTGTCTACAATGGCATCCCCCCCCCCCGCTCCTTTCGCTCACCTTTAGCTGTAGGCTACAGTAGGCCATTTTAGTCCAAATATACATTGTAAATAGTCATTGCTGGAATTCAGTTTATAATAATCTTTTGATAGCCCAGAGGGCTTCATGTGCCCTGATCATGCAGAATGTCTAGAGTCGAGATAGGGGTCTGAGCTTATCATGAATAGTTTCTAGTGGCTTGAATTTGCATGTCTGAGCAGACCTGGAGATGGGTTCAAGTTACTCAACTAAAGTGTCAATACAATGCAATTAGAAATATTGTAATCTCATTGTTACAGTATGATTGACTGGCATTCCTTTACCTGTTCTGTATGTGATGATTTCAGAACCTTATTGTAATGTCTACATTCTGTCATCAATTGCCCTGTACCTGTATGTGACTGGGAATGTATAAAAACTCCCTAGTTGTGTTGAAGCTTTGCAGCAGAGTTCACCTCTGCCTGCCCGGTATTATTGTGAGTGAACTGCGGGAACCTTGGGTTAATGCAATAAAGCCTAGATGGTCTGGACGCTTGATCTTTCCCACGAACCTGAGTTTCATTCCCTCTTCTCAAATTGAGATTCTGGGATTCTGACAGCTGCAACTGGTAACACTATCAAGGATGAGGCCTTCTGTTATTTATCACACTTCTCTGCTGCCCATAGCCCGCAGGCTCTCTGAGCAGTTTACAGTTGTTAAAATTATATACACAATCAATAGATATACACATTAAATAAAAATTCCGGAATGCATTCACTCATAGGGTCAGTGTTGGCTGCAGACAACTGGAAGACCCATGACAACAGCAATTACAGGGCATTTCAGCTACTGGGGGGGGGGATTTCAATGGGGGACAACGAGGAAGGAGGGTCTGTCCAAAAGCAGTAGGCATGTGGCCGCCAGGTCACATGCTTGCTGTTGCCCAGGACTGAGGCAAGAAATCAGGTCAAACTTCCTCCCCAAATCGCTTTCCCTATGCTTAATTGCGCTGCTGTTTTTAATGAGAGCCAGCGTGGTGAAGTGGTCAAGGGCATGGGGCTGGGGCTCAGGCAATCTGTGGTTCAGTCCTCGCTTGGCCTTGAAGCCAGCTGGGCCACTCCCAGACTCTCAGGCCAGCCTACCTCACAGGATTGTTGTGAGGATAAGAGTAAGAGCAGCAGAAAGAGAATGATGGAAGCCACTTTGAGTTCCTTGGCAAAAAGCAGGATACAAATATAATAAATAAATAAAGCTTTATAATTTGGATCAGATTTGGACACCTTATGCACGTCACAGGGAACAAGACTGGAACAAATAACGAACACGATGAAATTGCTCCTCTTTCCAGGAAGAGTCCATGTTATCTCATAATTTTCCACATGCCTCCCGCAGTTGCGAATGTGCATAACGCCGGCCGAGGGTAGAAATCCTCCTAGCGTGCATCAATAATCAATGAGCAGGGTCAGTGAACTCGGAGAGAAAAAGCGCTGCATCCTCTACCTTTTCGTAGCTCTATGCTGACAACCGCTCTCTTCCGATTCAACGGCTCCCTCGCGCCGCCCGTTTGCGCGAAAGCCGTTCTCCGCGCGCTGATGGTACGCGCAGCCGCGCATGCGCACGGCCAGCGCGGGTCGTTTCAAACTGGAGGCGCTGCCGGCCCGAGGAGAGCGAGCTTCCGGCCGGCGCTCGAGAGCCGCTTGTCGCCTGAGCGCCGCGCGCGGCCGCGGGAAGTCGGCCCGACGCCCGGGCAGGTGTGTCGCGCACCGGGCAGGCTGGGCTCCAAGGCCCGCCTGAGGGGAAGGCCGCGGCCGCCGGCGGCGAGGGGCGCGCTGCGGGGAGAGGCCGTCCGGCACGCCGGTCGTGCGGGCCCGAGCGGGCGAGCGAGCGCTGATCGGCGCCTCTGTCGTGCCCGCAGCCGGCCGAGGGCGGGCGGGCGCCCCCGCGGGGCGGAAGGCGGGAACCGCGAGCGTCTGTACGCGGCTTGCGTGGCGAGCCGCGCGGAGGTGCCGCGGCACGACTGGGCGCCGTGCAAGCGTTGCTCATTCATTTGCAAGCGGTGCATTGCTTAGCCCCAGCTGTGGCATGCCAGGAGAACGAGTCGCAGCTGCAGTCCCATGCAAGTTTGGGCGGACAAAAGGTCCTCCAGCTTCCAGCATGCCCCAGCTAGCTTGCTCGGCTGTGCTGGGAGGTGGAAGGTTTTCCTGCTGGCTGGGGCGCGCTGGGAGTTGCAGGACTTTTGAGTCTCAACATTTGCTGCGGATTGTGCCTTAAACCGCTTTCTTGGCTGATGCTTTGCTCTGCACAGGGGGTGATTTGAAAATCATGGGCAACATTTTTAATGCAAAGGCTTCTGTGAGTTCTGGTGGACCTGACCACAAAAAGTGCTGCTTTTCTTGGCGTAAACTGAGCCCAATAGGCCAGTACTGTCAAAACTGGCTGGCAGGGCACCTAGCAGTTTTTTGGACACTACCTGGAGATCCCATGGTTGGAACATGAGACCTACATTCCTAGTATGTGCTTAACTGCTAAACCACAGTGCTCCCTCCCCCTTTCGCTGCACTTCTGTGGTAGAAATGCCTGGCCTCCTCTAATTCCTGGTACAGATATTTCTTATTTAACTTGCCTTTCCCTAATGAGAATACTACAGCAATAATGCACAAAAATATAACTGAATCAAAATATAATCAGCTTATGTGGAAAAGATAGAAGAACCAGCCAGTGAAAACTCAGACTCTCTTTTTTTTAAAGTACAGTGCAGTGTTGATAGGCTGAGAAGAGAATGTTAGGACACTTGTAGCAATGGTTCCTTCCCACCAGTGAAAGTGTTCTTTGAGGAGAGGAAGGTTTCTCAAGTGATGTTTCGGAAAATGTAGACTGTTGGCCCAACAGTTACATAGGTCTCATTAGCTGTGTTTTCCTTCATAGCAACAATGAACTCCTCCACCCCACAGTCTGCTGGCAGCAAAGGAAATATCTCTTCCGACAGTGTATTCTTGTCCCCTGGCACTAGACGGCAACCTCTTAGTGCCTCTGGTACCCCAGTGTTGGAGAATTGCCCTGGAAATGATGACGAGCGGGAAAGGAAGCAGCGGCGACGCTCCAGGGTTATCGAGCTACAGTTTAGCACTGATTCACCTCTGTCACTGCAGTCCCCCTCCAACAAGTAAGAATGGCTTGGGCAAAAATTGATTGTATGCATAAAAATTAGTACAGCACCATGTAACACTCCGAGGTTTGCTTTGAAACTTGGAAGTGAGACTTGTTTTACAACATGTTCAGTTTACAAACTTGCTTTCTTGTGCTTCACTTGAAAGATCAAGTTTTGCTTTCTAATGTCGGTTTGTGTGCACATGTATTTGCAATCTTTGCTTGCTTTTCAGGCAGGCAGAAGCATCACTGCCGACATTCCCTCAATTGTCAAATGCTCAGATTGCTGACCATTACTCCACATGCATCAAACTTTCAACAGAAAATGTAAGTCTAGTTTTTTTCTGTTTGGTATTTTAGCACACAATATAGCCTTCACTCAGGAGTAAAAAACGTATTTGTCCATACTTGCAAACTTGCTGTTCTCAATTCCAGAAAATCACCACAAAGAATGCCTTTGGCTTGCACCTCATTGACTATATGACAGAAATACTCAAGCAAAAGGACTCTGAGCTCACCAACTTTAAGGTTAGACTCCTTCCTGATGGTGTTTCTTGTGACTCATGGAGTGCAAGCAGAAAATGTGGGGCTAGATTTGCACCTCCTATGATTGGGTAACTTCTGTAGTGTCTTGAATCAATTTCCATACACTCTTAGAGAGTGGTCCGTGGATTGATTGATTTATTGAATTTCTATCTTGTCTCATACTACTGAAAATACTACTTTTCAGCCTGGCACAGTCCAGCTTACACATTTAACTATATTCCTTTTGAAGGAGGTTGCCCACTGAACTACTTCGGAAAAGGAATATTGACTACTTCATAGTGCCCCCTGAATCTCTTCAGGCTCCATTTCCCAGAGTTTCAAAGTGCCATGCTGTTTGCCAGAAGTAATTATGAGGGAAGGGGGTGTTGATTTAGGAGGCACCTGCATAGATAGGAAGATTTGGGTAGCTTCTGCTGAGATGCTCCTATTAGTGTTTCCAGACAGAGTGTAACTTTGCATACATTTCAGATTGATGCTGAAAGACCAGAAGACTTTGAGGGGAGGAGGTAGAGAGGGAAAGCCAAGACAAAGAAAAGGGAGTCTTCTTTATTCCTGCTGACAAATACCCACAGTGAGGAGAGAGTACCTAGAGTCAAACACCTCTTGTTGCCTCTCCCCTCAAGTCAGATCCCTTCCTTGGTTTCCTCCACTAGGTAGCAGCTGGTACCCTGGATGCCAGTGCGAAGATCTATGCAGTGAGAGTTGATGCTGTCCATGCCGATGTTTACAGGGTTCTTGGAGGGCTGGGTAAAGATTCTGCACCAGCGGGGCCTGTGGAGGGCCAGGATGCAGGTGTGTCTGTTGATGCAGTCATCTGAGCATTAGATCTGGACTGCCACATATAGAGAAAACCTGTCTCTCCTTGGCAGAGCACACACTGGGCATGTGCAGGGCTGTGGATTCAGTTCCCACTATCTCTGCAAAGAATTTCAGGTAGCAGGACTGGGAAAAATTCTGCTGGGACGCTTGGAGAGCGGCGGCTTCTGCTGCTGCTTGTTGGAGCACATGGTGCTGCGTTGGGCCAATGGTCGATTCAGGACATAGCACCTGCCTATGTCCTCAAGGGTTGGGCTTGCTTTGGTGTGTGAGGCATCATCTCTTGAGCCTGCAGTGTAGCGAAGGGGCAGGAGCAATGAAGGAGGCCAGCAGTCACCTCTCCTTGCAGGCTGGGCGGATGCACACACAGAGGGTCTGAGAACAGCCTGGGGATCCCTCCCCAGACACATTATCTCCCAACCCCCTTTGAACCAGGCTCAAGTATGAGTGCTTTCCCTGCTGCGCGAGCGATTTGTCAGCATGTTGTTGTGCTTGTCAAAACATAATTGTGAGGGTGGTGAGCTCTGTTTGCACAAAAAGTTCATTCTGACCGGCAGAAGACACTGGGCCTTGTTGCTGAGTAGTGATGGAGTTTGTGTGCCTTGCCGTAGCTTTAGCCTTGCTGAACACTTGGTAAGCCCAGCTCAGACCTGTTATCCTTCTTGAAGGTGGAGCAGCTACGGATTCTGAGAGATCCAAGAAAAATCCAAGTAAAAGGAAGCATCTGTACAAAACCATCGAACAGACTTTGAGTAATATCAATGTTTCTGAGACAGACCGCAGGTGTGAGGTGAGATAAACTACTGTGAAGGTAACTTCCCTCCTTTCACTTCCTGAAGCATTTGGACTGTTTGCCTTTCCTCCATGGCTTTATCTTAAAAGATTCATTTGAAACACTGGAACTTACAATTGGTGATGGTGGGGAGGGAGCTCGTGTCTTGTCTGTGTGTTGTGAGGGTCGTACAACCCACCCAGCTGTATGTACAACAAAGCCCCCCCTTTCTGGATGTGCAGATTCATCCCCAATGCATACATTTGGTGTACATATCTAAGCTCTCACACCTCCATTTGTGCCTCAAATGGCGGCGTGTGTGCAGAGGCTTTGACCACAAGCAGCTCTGCTGCACGTGCAGCTGGTCTCAGTGGTTCAGAGGCAGGCGCTTCAGTTGTTTAGTCGCTGGCGAGCCGTGATGATGCCACATCGGGGGGGGTGGGGGGGAGAGAGGGGAATGTCCAGTGGGAACCAGGGGGGCCGCCTCCCTGCTTTGCTTCGTGGCTGCGTGGGCAGTAGCCAGTTGGCGCTGCCCGCCCTTCTGCTGACGGCGTTTGACTGCTCACAGAATGTCTGCAGCCGACCTAAAGAGTTACCCGTTTTGAAGGGTCTCTCCCCCAGATCCTTAAACATGGCCTTTTGTGTCTTTCCTCCTGGCTTTGTGTCTAGATCGATCCCATGTTCCAGAGGCAGGCGACCTCTTTTGATGAGTGTAGCTCGGCTGGTGTCTTCCTCAGCACGCTTCATACGTACAGCCATTTCAGTGAAGTCCTCTTTGATTCCATGGTCACACCTTTGGCGTCTTCTCCAACTTCAGAATTACCACGTTCTTCCCCCGTAAAAGTGGAAAACTTAAAATGTAGGTGCCAGCTATGATTAGCATCTTGATCCAGTTGTAAAATATTTGACTTAGGTTGCATGTTTTTAGTGAACCAAAAGCCATTGCGTTTTGCTAGTTCTCTTGCCTAGTGCCATCCTTGACCTAAGGGATGCATCCACACCCTCCCTTTTCCTTGCCCTCTCCTTTCTCAGTCCATCCTCAAGCTCTTATCTTACAGTGGTACAGCATGATACTAAGAATTCAGGGGCAGGTAGCTCCCAGCAAGGCTCTGGGCTGCTTAGAATTCTCTCAGGTGCTCTTCACCTAGAATCTTTGCATGTCTGGGGAGCACTGAAGCATGTGAGCTTTGGATAAGAGTTTCGGGCGGGTCGTATTATTAAAAAGCCTTCCTTTGGGTGAGCTCTCCTCCTCTGCCCTCCTTTCCAGCCATCCTGCTGCAGTGCGCCAGAAAGCGCCCCATTTGCCCTTCCTTGGCTGGCTTTCTCTTCACTCAGTGGAACAGCAAAACCCATAACGAGGTACGTCGCCCAGGGCTCACTCTGTCCTGAGTGAGATTAGCGAACTGCATCTCGCCATGGGGCTCCATTTCAATGTTTAGTTTATCTCCTGGAGTCTCCTTCCTTTCCTGAGCTTTCCAGTGGATTATATTTTGCTGTCACAAGCCAGTTTCTGAAGGTTTGGTGCTAAGTGCTTGATCTTGGGAGCAGAGGCACCCACGGCCTCATGGTTATGTATAAGAACCAGACAGAAATCCCACTATTGCCAGATTATAAACCACTTCCACTGGCTTCTAGATATTTCTCTTCCAGAAGAGAAATATTCTCTAGAGATGCTTCTGGAGATAGCTCTTGCAGAATTAAACCACGCCTACTGGCTTCTGGGGACCCTTTTACAGGAACATGTACTTACATGGCTGGGCTTTGTTGTCATTGTTGCCTCCAAAAAGATTTTTCTTTTAAATTTTTGTTTTGCTTTAAGTCGGTCTCAGCTCTGCTGGATAAATTTAAGAAGAGCGACCAGGCATTCGATATCAATGCAGAGGCTGATGGCGATGAGGGGGACTATGCCGAGGGCCCAGTGGAAGATGATTTTGATGCTGATACCATGGATAGAACAGTCGCAAAGGATCTTGGGAAGTTTTCAGAAAAGCTGGAGGCATGTCAAGCAACACCAGGGAGCTCAAAGTATGTCCAGGTTTGGATGGTTTGTGTCGCCTGTTAGGAAATCTAGTCAGAGTTTATCCATTCTCTGCACAGAAAAATTTGAGGAAATAAACTGGATAGGGAAAAGCCTTGGCGGGAACATGGTTTATAAAGGGGATGAAAGCTAGGAGGGAGTTATTAAACCTATGAAATGTTAAACCAGGCTCTGTGTGTTTCTTCCAGGAAAGGTGTGATTTCTCTGGGGGAAGGAGATGTGGGGTCCATGTGCCTTCATCTGTCCATGAATCCCAGTGAATATTCTTACTTCAGCCCCGGGACCATGTCCTTGTGGGCAGGCCCAGAGCACTGGCGTTTCAAGCCCCACCATAAACATACAGGTACGGATGTGGAGAAGGCCTGTTATCACGTTTTCTGCTTGCACATTGAACTTTATGGTTGTATTTCTGATTTTTATCACAAAAGGCCTTCCCACAAGTAGCACTGGTTGTCGAAGCTTTACCTTGATCCTAGAAACAGAACAAACATGAGGCTGTGTGTGTTGTGTCTCTCATATGTAAAAGTGCTTCTTGAAGTCCTTGCCTAGCACGGTTTTGTAGCTCAGCTCTGTTGCTTATCTAAGTTATCACAACATAACAGAAAGAAAACCTCCAGAATATTACAGAGGTGAAAATGCACGTAGATTAGAGCACATGCCAGGTGGTGTGGAGCTGACAGACTCCCCAGTCCTGATTTCCGAGGTGCACAGCCAGCATGGCCTGGGACGCGGGAGGTCCAGGCTCTGGCCTCCATTTGGCCGCGCCACTGCGAGGCTCATGTGGCTGGCGTGCCATGCAGAAAGGAATTCTGGCAGCTGCCTCAGGTTCCTTGCTGGGAACAAGCGGGATATTCAGACAGCTCACTGCAGAGAAGCCTCTCACGCCAACCAGGATGTATGTACAAGGTGACAATCGAAGCATTAAACCACCCTTCTCTCCCACCCCGGTCTACTTCGTCCACCTCATCTAGTCTGGCGTGCAATTTAGCGACCGCCGTTATGAGAACGAGGCCCCTTAAGGTCTTGGCATCCTTGTTATAAAGAAAGAAGTCTGTCTTCTGACTGGTCGGCCGGCTGGTTCCCGTTCTCAGCAATGCAACAAGGTATTTCCCTTGTGTGTTAGATCAGCTGAACAAACACCAGCCATGCCCAGAAAGAAGCAGCAGCAGCAAGTGATAAAATCAGTGCAGGCGAAATCCTGTGCATGCTGAGTCAGAAAGAGGAACTACAGTTCCCAGCATGCCTGGGCCAGTATGGCCAGCTGGACCGTGCTGAGCATTGTCGGCCTTCCTGTTCAAACGTGTCAGGTTGAACCATAGAACTTCTACCGCAGATCCAGCCACGGTTTCCCCAAGTTGCCTTGCATCGTGCCCTCTATTCATTCTTTGCAGGTGATGCCAATGCTGAGAAAGCAGGCAGAAGAAAGACTGCCAGAAAGGTCTTTGAGATCAATTTTGAGGATGAGATTGAGTTCGAGCTTCACTTCTGCAAAACGCGGGTAGGTCTTGATTGGGTGGCCTATGTACTGACAGTGGCCCTTTCCAAAAAAGGCAGAGATGACTGTCAGCTTGAGAAACTGAACAAACCTGAAAGCAGGATGTACTTTCTATGTGAAATTGGTGTGGAAACAGGTAGTGCGTGGCATAGAAATCAACTGAATAATGTCTGTGGCCAGTGAGGCCGATGCAGACCTTGTCCAGGGGGAGAAAGCTTCACCGTGCTGGAGCGTCATGTTGAACCGACAGCTGAGTTGGTGGCACACAGCTGCCTCCCATGCAGGCGACCCACGTCGGCATGTTCAGGAGCTGAGGATTCTGAGAGGGCCCCGGACATACCAGCATGTGCACAACTCCTCCGGAAAGAACGTGCAGGCGCGCCTCTCGTTCATGCTCCTCCGGAGGACGGTGCCCGTGTGGAGCTGCGTGGCTGTGAGTGACGGCTGCTGCATTCTGCTTTTCTCAGGCAGCCACGACTCTGGCCAAGTCAACCCTCGGCAATCAGAGCAAGAAAAGCAGCACCCTCCCTGCCGACTTCCATTATGACCCTGACAAGCTCACCCGCCTCTTCCTCAAGCCAGCCAATAGGGTAAGCCTTGGCTGCTCGGGCCGAACTTCCCCCAGGGCATGTTTTGCATAGCCTGGCAGGAGACCACACTATGAGTTTTTCTTCGGAGAACCAGCACCAGCTGCTAATTCCTCCAGGTGTTTTTGTTTCCGCAGCTGTGGAAGGTGCCGAAGCCGTTGCAGATCAGCTCATCCAGTCATGATGACGGGGTTGGCGAGTATGATTACAATAACCCCAATGACACCTCCGATTTCTGCCCTGCATTGCAGGTGAGTTGGATAATGGAGAGCTTGCTGCTGTGAATGGCATCTGCTATGTGATTCTGTTGCTTCCTTTAGTGGCCCTCCTTCCCACTCCATCCCGCGTTCTAGACACCTCTGAATTTCCTGAATCTAGGAGTATCTTTGTCACATACACACCAGTACATGTAACTTGTCTGGATCCTTCTCCAGTTGCACCTGGAGGCTCTTGGAAGCCATGGGCCTCCGGGCTAGGCCAAAATAATTCCCAGTTCCCACTTGCATTGATCCATGGGTTCCTCCTGCACGCAAGGGGAATGCGCAATGCTGTAGGCAACAGTGAGGAGCAACAGATAGTTGGGGTGGTGCCAGAAGCCTTGCGAGAAGATGAGTGTAAAGGAGGGGGGGGCCTTTCAACCTCGACCCCAGAGAGCCCAGGTTCCGCAGTGTGAGAAACAGCAGCTAAGCAAGGGTGCTTGACATCTTTACAAAATAAAGACGGTTAGCATTCTGTCAAGGCTGCTTCCTTTGGGGAAAAGGCTTTCTGTGACATTACACCAGTGCTGAAAACTCTTTTGAACCTGTGTGGACTTCCCTCCCTGTCTTTTGTGTTCAGGATGCGGACAGCGATGATGACGGTCCCATGGAATTCGTAGGCCAGGGTGGGATGTTTGAAATGACTGCCAATCCTGCGAGAGGGGCAGCTTCCGATGAGGGCCTCCATGGACGCAACGTCAGCACCTACAGCGAGTCGAACCTGGTGGCCGAGCCGCAGAGGGTGCGTGCCGGGTGGGATTCTGCCCGGCAAAGTGGCTTCCCTTTGGGGGCTTAGCAGCAGCAGCAGAGGTCCCTGTGTTTTGTTCTCCTGGAAATCCAAACATTTCCTGGGAATCAGAAGGCTGGCCCCAGTTTTAGATTTGCATCCTCAGTCTGCCTGCTTACTCTTAATTTGTTTTTTGTTTTTTTTTATGCGGGCACAGGCGGCAAGTGACAGACAGTAGGTTGGGGCGTGTGCCTGGATACCAAGAGGGTCAGGGCTGAAAATCGCTCCTGATGCGTGTTCCTTCCTTCCTTCAACCTCGCAGGTAAACAAGATAGATATTCAGTATGCGAAAACTGCCAAGGCGATGGACATGAGGAGGCTCAAGCAGGCCATGTGGTGTCTCCTGACTGATGCCCCGAAGAATCAGACTGAGGAAGAGGTAGGCATGCTTTCCCCTTCATAACATCACGGCTTTCCTGGGCTGCACCGGATGACCTGAAGCACCTGCTTCCTCGGTCCAGCGCTGCTAGGTGAGCAGTCTTCAAGGGCCGTGCCACCTGCGTGCCCAACACTGAGAGCGGCTCCATGAACAGCTGAATTCTGCCCACCTGGCATCTTCTGGGTGGTGCCTGGCGGTGGCGAGGTGCTTGGGACCCCTTCTCTGGACGCTTGCCAGGCTCCTCTCTTGGCCTGGGAGATTTGGTTTCTCAATTATTAATGCATTCTTCAAACGAACTAGCCTGGGGGCTTTACCAAGAGCTGCTCCGTGCCTGAGAGCCGAGACCTCACCTTTCCCTTGTACTCAGGTTCTTGGGGAAGCGACTTTTCATTCATTCATTCAAAACATTTCTATGCCGCTCCCATCGCAACAAAGCCTTGGGGCGGCTCACAAAGAAACCCTGCTGACCTTTTGGGAAATTACTCTTATTCGTTTACTATTTATGTGTTACATAAACCACACATCGATGAGAAAAGATCAGCATATATAAAGACTTGGAATCTGCCGACATGGAACTTCTTTCTTTCTGCAGAAAGCGATTGCGGGGAAAACCACCTCTGTTCCAGAGGTGTCCGGCCAGAAGTCCTTCAGCGGCCTCACCAGGGATTTGCTCCACAGGTACATGGGGCGCCAAGGTTCCCACCAGGACGCCGGGGCGGGCAACAGGTCCCCTGCTCCGCTTCGCCTCACGCCCCAAGGTGAAGCCCTGTGTGCAAAACCGCCTCCTGGGTGGCCCCGGCTGGCCGGCCGCAGAGAGCCATCTCAAGCCCCGCCACCCTGTCTGCTTCTGTGCATTGGCTTTGAGAAGAGCGACTGCTCCGTGTCACCCAGCGTGCCTCTGCAGAGAAACTGCAGTGAACCCTTGAGATCCTTGGTGTGCTCGTTCTGCAAGGCTCCTCCGCCCCCCCCGCCCCCCCCAAAACGTGTTCGCGTCAGCTGTGGAAGGAGGAGCCAGCCTGCCGGGTTTGGCATGACTTGGCCGTTCCTTTTTGTTGCCATTTGTTGCCATTTTGTCGCCGGAGGGGCCATTCCGGCAAGGTGCTGCCGGCCAGGCTGGCTGGAGCTCTCCTTGCTCTTGCTGGTGAGGGACGGAGGTACCGAGGGCCCGGCTGCTGCCCGTCCACCCGCTGGTCACATCCCCCTCAGCACTGCAATGCTGTTCAGAGCAGAGGGGCAGGTGAGCGGTCTCCGGACACCAGCGCTGAGCTCCTTCCAACTGAGCCAGGCGCTGTGCTGCCCTTAGCCTCAGCTCCACTTTCTGTCTCTTGCAGGCTGCCGTCTGTGATGGCAAGGAATCTGTCTGTGCCGTTGGCGTTTGCTTGCCTCTTGCACCTGGCCAACGAAAAGGTGTGTGCAGTGTGCCCATCAGGGGCTGAGGACACGCTGGGGAGATGGGCAGCTTCGGCCGGCATTCTAGTACCAAGCAGGTCGACTTTGGGAACAAATTTCTAAGTGAACCGTATCTGAAGGCTTGGTATGTTTGCGGATTTGTTTCTAGAACCTGAAGCTTGCGGGTGTGGAAGACTTGTCTGAAGTCTTGGTGCTGCAAGGAGATTAGTACATGATGAGTAGACCGAGAAGAGCCTGGACTACCTGAGAGGGGATGCATCCTAGCCAAGGATATGCACAGATAGCACGATCCCGTGTGAAACCTCTGGCCGCCCGTGCCTGGCATCCCTCCGAAGGATCTCGGCAGAACCTGATCCTGTCCGATCCTGTGCCTGGCAAAGAACTCCTGAGCCATCAACACGTTGTTTAAAATGATGGGCAGGTGAGAGGAACAAGCCTGTTTTGGATGTTCAATTCTTCCGTGATTTACACACGCTCTCTCACCCGCCATGACCCTTTCAGTGGGCTCCCTCGGCCCCAGTCCACGACTCCCTCAAAATTCTGGCAACGGTCACAGTGGCCGCAAAGGACCGCTGGGAATATTCAGCCCCCTTTTAAAAATGTGCAGCACCTTCTTGTACAGAAAAGAGCCCTGCCTAGTGTTTCTCTTGCTTCCTTTTTATATATTCTTCTCCCCTTGCATTGCAGTTGCCTTAAATGCTCTTAGGTGCTTGTCTTTTTAAAGGAATAAACGGATTCAAAATGGAATACTCCCCACTCCCTTTTGGTGGTTTTCCTGGCAAGTTCAATTTTTGAAGAAGCCCTTATGGAACGGTCTGTGACTCCGCTGAGGCAAATGCCCAGCTTTAGTTCACTCACTGCTCTGCCTGGCGCATGTGAGGTCAGAGGCTTGCTGGGCGTGGTTGTTGACCCACCCGGGGGGCTGCTGTGCATGGTTTCGCTGCCTTGTGCTCAACTGCTCCTCCAAACGGGGCTCCCCCTTCGCACCAAGGGCTCCTTTCTGCCCCACGACCATCGCTATGCGCTCGCGTTGTGCCTGCGTGTTCCCCTTTGCCTACCAGCTCCCCCAGCCAGGACCCCCCACCCCCACACCGCATGGCATCTCCCCCGCGTAGTCCGAGCAAGACCCATGCACCCTGCCTTGCCCCGCCTCTTTTGCCAGGCCCGGAACGCAGGCAGTGGGAGTCTGGCTGCGGCACTGACACCCAGGACGATGGAGAGGGGGGGAGCAGGCGAGGGTCAGCAATACAGCTCGGTGCGTGGCCCAAGGGCAGAGTCGGGTGGGCGAGGTCCGACTCCGTCCAGGCAGGGCTTGGCAGAAGCAGAGGCAAGCCGGGGCCAGCCTCCCGCACGGCAGAGGGAGCTCAGGAGGGGCAGGACGGGAGCCCCTGGCAAGGCAGGCCAGGCCGCGGGTGGGTAGGAGTCTGGCACACTCCGTGGTGCGCCTGGAGCAGAGCGGCAGCCCAGGGGGGCCCCCAGCACGGCCCGCGATGGCGGGGTGGCTGACGGAGCCGCCAGGGAAGCCTCCCTCTGAGGGGGAATCGTGGCGCTCCCAGCTGCTCCTCGGGATCGTCCGACTCTGCTCCAGGCCAGGCCCTGCAGTGGTGTGCGGGGCCCCGGCCTTCTGGCGCTGGGGGAGCTGTGCGGCAGCTTGGGCTCAGGGCCGCTGGACAGACGGCGGCAAGTTCAGCTGCTGGCAGCGGTGACGGCCCTCATCCGTCTCTCCAGGAGAACCTGCTCCAGTGCAGCCCGGTTTGCCTCCGCTTTGCGTTTCCCCCTCTGGGGTGACGCTTTGCGCGGATGGTGCCAACCCTGAGCGATGTGGAAGCGGAGGCAACGGGGCAAAGCGAGGGGAGCGAAGAGCAGGACGGGGCCATCACTTTCCGCGCACCTGGCAGCTTGCGCAGCCTCCAGCCCAGAGCCTGCGTCTCCCATCACTCCTGGCGGTCCCACTTCCAGGGCTTTGCGCGTCACGCTTCCTGCTGGACTTGCGCTGCTTCTCCCGCGCGGGCGAGAGTGTGGGCCACTCCTCCTGCTCCTGCGGAGCTGGAGGCCTGCTGGACAATGTGGGCCGTCGCTGGAGCCGAGCATTGTGGCTACTGCAGGTGCTGGGGGCAGAGCCTGGGGAGGAATATGTTGCCTTGCTGGCTTCCTCCAGGTTTACGCATGGGGCATTTTCCCCAGGCTGGTCCTTGACAGATTGGTATCGGGGCAGAAACCCCAAGTGTGGCAATGTTTCCCCGTGAATCGGCATGGGCAACTCCTGCAGCGGGTCTGGGGCAAGCCAGCCCCACCAAATCGCGCAGGAGCTCCTGCTCGTCTCCGTGGGGTCGGCTCCCAGGAACCCGCCACCAGGCCGGGCTCTCCACGAACACGTCGGGGGAGGAATCCCTCCCGAGGCTTCACCTTTCCTTAGCACAGCTGCCTGACCATCACGGACTGTCCTTCCATGAAACTGCCAGACAGCTGACTACAGCTTCCATCATCCTTAGTATGCAGGTGCTCGTAGACCCAGGCTGAGCAAGGCTTCCTTGAATATCTTCGAACCCGATGCCGTGACGGCTACCATTGTTCATGAGGTCTTGCGTGTTGCACTTGGTCTTTTTCTGATTGGATGCAGAGAAGCACCTGCACGAGGCCAGGCATGCCGTGGGCATGCAGGCCCCGCAAGGGGATTGGGGAGAGGGTCGGGCAGACCCTGGGAGGGGACTGGGTGAGGGAACAATGGGGGCGAGAGGAAGTGTAAAATGAGAGCAAAGGAGGAATGTGTGCGTGTCGCTGCCTGCCTGCCTGCCCGCCCGCCTGCCTGCATGTCGGGAGTGGGCACCCGGTGGCTTTGCTCAGCTGAATAAAATCACTGCACGCATCTCCGCCTGACTGGACCTCAGTGGCGCTTGGGCTGGTGGGTCTGCAAGTCACCTGGCTAGCAGGGACGTCAACAGTCCCTCACGGACAGCCTGCTGCAGCCCAGGCACGGAGAGCCCCTTGTCCCTTGCGCCACCTGCAGGCAGCCCTGCCCTCCTGGCGTTCCCATCGGGACACCAGCCCTCCAAGAACGCCGGGGGGGGGGGGGCGTGCGCCTCATCACCGCAGGGGCCGGCCTGCTCCCCATCCTCCCGCCGGGGCCCCAGGCTCTCCAGGCGGCCCAGACCAAGCGCGCAGGCTGCCCTTCACCGCCGGGCGACCCAGCGGGCAGCAGCCACTGCTCCTGAGAACCTTCAGGCAGCAGCTGGAGCAGCAGCAGCGTGGCGGCCCGGCTGCCCGGGCAGAGCACGCCCTCGCCCTTGGCGCACTCCTCGGGAAGGCTGAGCAGCTCCTTGCCAGCGGGATGTGGGGAGGCACACGTGCGCCACGCGAGAGGCCCGGCCAGCGACACAGGCCGGCAGGATGCCCTCGGGGCTGCCCCGAGAGAGCCTCTTGGGACAGGCGTCTTGCGAGGCAGTTTCCAAGGGGGCCTTCAAAACAACCTTCTCCAATCCAGCAGCCTGCAGGTGTGGGCCTTCTTGGCTACGGGAGTCACGCCATGCCTGCCTGCTGTCGGAGGAGGAGGAGGAGGAGGAGGAGGATGTAGCATTGGTACAAGGCCCCCACCCTGGCACTTGCTGTTCCGTGGATCTCGGGTCAGCCTGCCGAGCCTGTCAGCAATCGCGGGCAGGCTGAAAGGATCTTGAGTGGGGACGGGAGGGAGTTCGTGCCCAACCTCTCAAGAACCTCCTCATGGGACAGCACGAGCTCCCCGAGCAACATCAGGAAATGCCAGATGTGCTCGGGGGTGAACATTCCAGCTGTTCAGCTCCCTGGTTAGAAGAACTGGGTGAGACGCCTCCATGGTTGCAGGCCTGGTGCTTGTTGTGTCCATGCTTTAGAATGGGGGTGGTCTTTGGCACCCATACGTCCCGCAACATCTTCCTTGCTGCCTCCTCAAGTCCCGTCACTTCAACCCGGAGCTGTTCCACATATTCCCAATGCGCTGCGCCCGTGTGAGCTGGAAGCCTTGCGCTGCCCGCAGCAGGTGCTCCTGTTTCCCTGACCGTTAGGCAGGGTCCCTCTCAGGTCTACCGAGAGCTTTCCCTCAGTGTCTCACGCCAAGGGGAGAAGGGAGCGTTAGTATGTACAGGGCAGGAGCCTTGAACGGGACGGTACATCAACCCGGCAGAGTGAACCTGGGCTGAGGCAACTCTGGAGGGAGACAGTCCACGGGAAGCGTTGGCCACAGCCCGAGCCCAGGGTGGGCGAGGAGGGCCCTCAGGGCCTGCCCTGCCTCTGGCATTTCAGCAGCAGGCCCTGGCAACCAGGGAAACGGACGCAGGGAAGCTTTGGCCTTCGCCTCTTCCGTTTCGAGACCCTGCCCACCGTTGTCCCTGCGCCGTCCACAGCACGAGAGTTGGCGGCACCCCATCAGCTGTGCTGCCAACAGCAGCACCCCAAAAGTAGTTGGCCAGAGGGAGGCCCCAAGAATAGCTGCCCGCAGGAAGGCCAGAGAGTGAAAACACCACAGTTCTACTCTCCCGGAAGGGCGGGGGGCTCATTCGGCGCGACCCGTCCGAGCGTTCGCAGGGCCGGCCAGGACGCTGCCAAGGATGCACATAGATTTGCTTGGAGTGGCTGAGAGTGGTTTGTTCTAAACTAAAACCTCAGGATTCAGGTCTTATTGCAGGGTTGGCACCTGGCGCTAAACAACTGGGCTTCGGGGTGCCGTTTGGGCACGTGGTGTCTAGAAGGGTGGCCATCACTGACCTAGGGAATAAAGCACATGTACCGGGGTGCCACTTTCGAGACACTGCTTGGGCTGAGCATCCCCTTTCGTCTCCCTTTATTATATAGTGCACTTGAAGAAAGCTGCCTTGGCCCGAAGTCTCGTCTCGGGCTGCCTTGGACCCAGGTCTGGCTCCGGCCGGGGTCGCCCTAGCAGTTGGCTGGCTGAGTTCCGTGACATGAAGGTTCTATTTGTGCTTTGTGAGTTGCCACTAACAACTCACAGTTCTAACGACTGTTGAGCAGCACGTACAGTTAATCCTACAGAGTCGAGCAAATGGAGGAAATGCAGTTGTCCAAACAGGTCCCTCCCAGCATGGACTGGGAGGAATACGGCCCTCCCAGTATGGACTGGGAGGATGAAGATCCTCCCAGTATGGATTGGGAGGAAGACGGTCCTCCCAGTATGGACTGGGAGGACCAGGGGGAGGAAATGATGGACTTTCAAGTTTACAGGTAGGATTTGAAGTCGAAGCAGGATTTGAAGCAGGTGCCTGCTCTCGTGTGCAGCTCGCTCCCAGTTGCGGCTCCTGCCCTGCACCATCCCCTGGAGTCCACCCAAGCCCGCGCCCTCCGCTCCAGTGACCCCATCCGGCCACCCCAGCCTCTGCTGCCCCCTTCTCCTTCAGCCTGCACTCCTTCCCAGCACCAGGGTCTTCTCCCAGGAGACCCCCCTCCTCATTAGGTGGCCAAAGCTTTCAGCTTCAGCTTTAGCTCTTGCCCTTCTAAAGAGCCGTTAGGGTTAATTCCCTTGTGGGCACGTTAAGCACACACAAATCTCACCTGCAGAAGAATTTGCCTTCAACAACACAGAAATTGGGCTTGTGGCAATGTTGCCTGCTTCGTCTCAGTCCTCCATCCGCAGGGAGACTGTGGCCCAGGAACCTGAAAGGCGGAGGCTTGGACGGGCAGCAGTGAGGGCCATCCACTGCACCAGCTCTACCATTTGCAAGTTAGACTCCCAGTGA